GCTCCAGGTGGGGTCTTGCCAGAGTGGAGCAGGGGGGCAGAATCCACTCCCTCGTTGCCCTGCTGGCCAGGCCGCTTTGGATGCAGCCCAGGATACAGTTGGCCTTCTGGGCTAGGAGCGCACATTGCTGGCTCCTGTCCCGGTTTTCATCCACCAGTACCCCCAAGTCCTTCTCAGCAGGGCTGCTCTCGATCCCTTCATCCCCCAGCCTGGATTGATAATATAGCTCTCATTTATGGCATTCATTGCACCTTCTTCTCTGGAATTTGCTGTTGATTGATGTTTGGATCAGGGTTCTGGTTCAGGCCACACGATTTGAGGTTTGTTGTCAGAGGGACCAAGTGCCTTGCTGTTCAGTATTTAGTACGACATAGAATCAGACCTTTTACTTCTTTGTGCTACTTCTTTCTCTACAAGGTGCGTATAGTACTTCCTTGTCTTGTGAGGAAAGTAATAAGAAGGCAGCATTACGTTTGCTTTTCAGTTGTCTGTGTTGGAGCCTATATAGTTTGCCTGAGACAGGGGAAGTAATAAAATTATCCTTCCATTCTCTTCACCTTCATCAATCCTTCCTGTAGCCACACATAGCTTTCCCTACTGCACAGCATCAACAAGAATCCTTTGAACGAACAAAACTTTGCAGTTTCTTTAATGAAATCTCAAAGCATATGTTCTCGTGGAAACTACAATTGCACATATTCTGTCCAAACTACATACTCATCACAAAGTGTTAGAATTTAATTGTTTCTCTGATTCAGATGCAGGGCAGCTCCTTGTGTTGTCTCACGCAGTTGAGATATTCTGGGTTCTGTCAAAACAAATCAGAATCTTTCTAGCCATGTCTGCTTTTTGGAAGGGAGGAAATTGTAGGGAGCTATGCTGCTATTCCTTTTCATTTAATGGTGACATGTTTTACCAGTTTTGATAATGTATAGACACTTATGCTTCCAGTGTGTTTTTTTAAGGAATGGCACCCTTGAAAAGCAGCAACTTGTTGTGTTCTCCTGTGTGCACCATTGAGGTATTCATTACATTGAGAGTTGGTAAGACTTGAAAAGTTGAAGAGAAACTTACTCCAGGCCTCCACTAAATAAAGAATCATATGATATGGTCCCCAGTCCAAGACCATATGAAAGATGAGCACAGCATGTTTACAGTTATTTGCCTGAATGGGACTGAAATACGCTCAGAAACAGAGCAATACATCATCAAGGGCCACCTGCTTTCGCTTGTGTTATGTGCATTGAATTGGGTCGTCTTTTTCTTTTGTTCACTGTTTTAATCTCTCCAGGAGGTTTGTTCTCAAAAAACAACGCTGAGGAGTCAGCCGCTTTTGATATGCGCTTTGCTGTATATACTCTCTCTGTTGTGGTTCTGTCTTTCCTAGCTACAGGAGGGATATGCAGGCTGCTTCAAGCAAAATTACCAGTAATGCTTTTATTTAAATGTATGTCTGTTCTTACATGTTTCAGAACACCTCAGGAGGAAGGCTGTGGTTTTTTTCGTTAAGTAGAGCTGTTAGCCATGGCCCATAGCTTTGTCAGAGTGGCATGAATAAATGAGAATTCTGTTCCGTTTGGGAACATGCAAACCAGTAGATAGCCTAGCTGAAGGTTCTCTTTCTAAAGTCATTTTGCTCATGTCAGGAAGAGGACAAGAGGAGTATCACAGATTCCCAGGGCTGTGTAGCTCTTCTCAGAGAATGACTTTAAAATGGATAGGGTTGAGTGTGAAGTAAAATAGTCTCTTCCAAACTGGATATCACTACCCAGTTTGGAAGGTCTTGGCCAAAAGCACCCAGCTGCTATTGCGTTTTGATGGCAGCTTTCTCCATGTGGTCATGCTGTCCTCCTCACTCTGAAGGAGTTTCATCCATGGTCATTAAATCTGATATTATTCAGGCAAACGCTCATTAGCTCTGTATTAAAAAAAAAAACAAACACACATACTAGTTTCAAAGCCATGTTGTTCATCCAAATTTTTTAAATTATTATTTTCATTTCTGTAACCTGCAGGTGATGCTATCCACAACCACAGTGCACTGTTCCTTGAGAACAGCTCTTTGAACATACCTTTTTCTCAGGAGAGTCCTGGATCTCGAAATGGATCTGATCAACCACAAGGAGAAACAAGAAAGTTGAGCTTGGCCAGCACACACAGTGAAAACTCAGGGTCAACAGAAAGTTTGTCATCAGCATACCTCACCAACAGTGAGTGAAGCCTGGTGCCATATGCTGTCTGATATAGCAACAACCCTTCTCTCCACATCCTTTCTGTGGAAAAGTTTATTATGCAAAGGAGAATTACGTGCTTGGAAATTTGGGGAGAATGAGAACAGCCTAAGCTGCTGCAATTTTAAGTAACACAATTTAGCTTCCTTTTCTGTTTGTAATTAAGTAGGTAAAATAATAGAAGTGAAGTCACAGTTTTATATTAAGGTGCCACTTACAAATAGCCATTAAGGGTTTCATACTAACAGGTATTTAGAAGCATGTTTGAGGCATGAAGAAATATAGATAGGTAAGATCTATGGACTGGATAGTTAGGGACTGTAGTCATGTATCAATATTCCATTCACTGCTTGGGAAGCATTTGCAATTCTTACTCTATAACATGATCATAAAAGTACTAGTCTTTCCCATACATTTTCTGTGGACCAGGAAGCAATGGGAATCATGCTGAGGTGATTTCCGCTTCCCAAAACTTGGATCCCATACAACTGTTTAGATTGCAGACATTTAAGTGATGATGCAGTCAGTGAGAACAGTACTTTTAACTGACTTTAACAGACTATAAATATCAAGATTAAAAAAGCAGGACTTCATTCAGTTATCTAGCTTAAATGTAAAGACAGCAAGAGATTTATTGAGAAGTTATCTTATAGAAATGTGATGCTATTTTCTTTGGGTTTTTTTTGTAGTTACTGCAAAGTGGTGGGGAACAAAACGAATAGATTATGCCTTGTATTGTCCAGATGTGCTGACAGCCTTTCCAACGGTGGCCCTGCCGCATCTCTTCCATGCCAGCTACTGGGAATCAACAGATGTTGTGGCCTTCATTTTAAGACAGGTCATTGATCTCTTTATTTTTTTCTCTCTGCAACGAATAACCTTGTGATTTTTAATTGCGTCTTCCAGGGGTGATCAGTCTTTTAATCTTTAGTTCAGTTAGATGTCTAACTGTAGTTGCATCACATACAACTGGATGTAGGCATGACAGATGTGGATTTGTGGGAGAGCTGAAGGGGACAGTGAGCCGACCATTAGCACTGCTGGCTGGTATTCTTACTGCTGACTGTGTGGCTGGGAACAATGCACTGTTGTGCATACCTTACTCACCCCTTCCTTGCCCCAGATCAGTATAACCTGTATTATGTATTCATTTTCCTTCTGGTTTTTGAAGGAATAGGCTATCTCCAGTCTTACTGAATTATGTATTTCCCTACTAAATATCAAATTATTAGCATACATTTGATAATAAACCAGCAGTTTGAAAGTACTGATGCCATAAGAAAATCAAGTCTCTCCTGTAACTATACTAGAATGTTTCAAGGCATTGTGTGCATTGTCTCCTCAGAGTTTATTTCTGAGTCATATGATGGGTCTTGTGTTCCTTCTGTGTCAGTAATTAGACAGCAGCTCACGGTGACTTGGGGATAATGCAGTGCTCCGGCCTTTAGAGAAAGTAGTGAGACTGAGAAATCTCACCTGGGGGTAAAAAAAAAAAAAAAAAAAAAAAAATCAAGTGGTATTCAAGTGAAACCTGCAGGATAAGTGTCCTTCCAAGAACACGAAGTGACCCTCACCCAAAAGCAAGTCACAAGCAGTTTAATTTGGATTAACCCAAGAACCTGTGTGTTTTTGACATCCCGTGAGCGATGAAACAGCTGCTGCCAGGCAAACACAATAGAGAATAATGCAGAAAACTGCACAGTGACTTTTTTCATTAAATCAGTTTGGCAGACGTCAGTATGCCTGCCTGTCTCACAACTCCTTTTAGCTGGTCTCTGAGTGTTAACCACCTCCACCTCCTGCTCTCAGTGCTGGTGTCAATGATGTTAGGTCCCTGGAGGCTCACCTGGTAGCTCTGGGAATGGAAGCTCAGTGGCTGAGTTCCCTCCAGTCCGGAACTGCTGTGAGTCATACTGTGCAGTTGTACCGAACCCCCATCTTTTTATGGCCATCTGTGAGTGGACTGTGTAGCAGATGATCTGGCTGGTAACCAGACCACTTGCAGAATTTGTGACTGCTCTTTTTAATTGATGAAATTCTAAGAGTCCTTCACCCTCTTGCTGTCCTTCCAGAGCATCCTTTAGTGTATCTGATTACAGTCAAAATGTATCATTCAGCAATGCAGAATTTTAAAAGCTAATTTATAAAACTTTGTTTATAACTAGCATCACCGTAATCAAGTCAAAGCAAAAGTTGCTGAAGAGTTTTTCCATGAATGAGAACAGTCTCCAGAATAGGAATCTTATTTGATGCTCATCCCAAAGTAGAGGAGAGGTTTCTACTGGAAGTGACAGGATGCAAATACCTGTTTTTTCTGTTCAAGGGCCCTAGATAATTGTACATAGATGTTTCTCCTCTCCTTTGCAGCTCTCTTCTAGCTTTTGTTATCTCTTATTCTTTCTCAGGATGTTCATTGCCTTCAATCCATCAGAATATTCTCCCATCTTTCCTTTCAAATGCCTTGCTGAGCCCGGTTGTCTGTTAGCAATCATTCCTGCTTTATTCTACTTGTTACCTCTGTGCATTCATATCAAGTTGCATTGTTGTGTCTTACCTAGCCTTTATGTGCATTATAGCTTTTAGGATTTAGTAAGTCCTTTAAGCATTTGGAATGTGCCTGTAAAGCAATATGTGAGCTTACAGCTCTACATAAAGGACTGGTTAGTTCCAGCATAGTCTGGACATTCTGCCCTTGCTGCGCATTAAGGCTAATGGCTCCTGAATGCCCTGTGGGCACATATATTTCCTGCACCTGAGCTCCAGTGAATAGAATTTATGCCACTTTGTTAAAAAACACACTGACCTCTCAGCGTTACTATGATTTGTTGCAAGCCAACTGCTTTGCTAAGGCTGAATGCAGCAGGATTTTAGTCAAGGGACTTCATATTTTAAAGGATGTCTTTTAAATGATTCTAGGCCACTCCTCCAGAGAGGGCACCCAGGGCGGAAAACTTCAGCACAGAAAACCCAACTGTTCAGCTTGAGTAATTTTCTGCTAGCTTGTGAAAGAGACAGACTAAGCTATTTCTCATTCAAAATGAAGTAGCCTCATATGCTATCCATGATCCCAGGGTGCAAACCACAGATTTCAGTAAGACAGCGCTTGTGGTTTCAGTTGAAACAGGGCATAACATTTTGAAATCTGTGGGTTGTGTCCTGAAGTCTGAGTGGGACATGCAAGTTTCTTGGTAAGTGTGTGATATTTAGGTTGTAAGAATGTGTAGCCTGTATGACATACTAGGGTTCTGCATGTTCACAAGTTAAGGTCCCCTTATCTTCCGATATTACTAGCTACAAGCCAAATCCTGGGCCTATCACTTACTGCAGTGGGGAATAATATCCAAAAGGTGATTAAAAAACATTCTGCCTGGGTATATGTATAGAAAATCAATACAGATGGAGTCAGGAATCTGACCTCTGCCCCATAAAGGACATTAAAAAATACTTCTGTGGTCTTAAGCTGCTTTACTGACTATGCAGACCATGAGCAGACAATGTGACTGTCACTTGATAACATCCTAATGTCTTCACCATTTTCTCTGGAAGAATGTGCAAGCTCTGTTGTGAATGGAAAAGCTGTTCAGTAAGTACTTGAGATTAAGTGTTGACCAAGAGAGTGAAAGCAGTTTATTTGTCTACATGAGTGAGCATCTGCATGGTGCTTAGTTGCTGGCTGGGGTTAAACCACGACAGATCAGTGTGACCATATGGTCACTGTACCTCTTGCTGCTTTCATTGTGCTTTTGGCTCTGCAGTGTCAATCAGCTGGGGCAGCAGTGTACTTTTCCTTTCTTTGGCAAGTACCAGGACTGGCCAGGCTACATGCTGTTTATTAAAATATTAGCATAATTTCAGGTGATGAGATACGAAAATGTAAATTTCAAGGAAAATGACAACCTGGATCCAGCAACACTAAGTCCATCCAATCCACGAGAAAAATGGCTACGCAAAAGGACACATGTCAAATTGAGAGTAAGTGTAAATCTGAATATATATGGCAGCTATAGAACTTGTGTTTGGTAGTAATTTAAATGAAGTTTGATCTCCCAAAGCATGAGTTTATGTTGAATATTACTGAAGAGCTGAAAACTGCTAACGTAATCCAGAGGCAAACAAATTAACAGTTAGGGAATAGGAACAATTTATTCTTGGTTTATCATCACATGTTCGAGAAAGTGTATTTCTTTCTTTAAATAACAGAGGGCTCTTAGTTTTCAGTTAAGCAAAAAGGTTGTTCTTCTATTTTCTTATGTGCTAGATGAATCCATAACAGAAGAAAAAAAAAATTTCTTCATTCTTCAGGCACCATTTCAATTAGAAGTGTCAGTTAAGATGCATGTGTCTTACACATAATCGTGTGAATCTATAGCACCACTTGAAGTGAAAGATAATTGGCATGGCCTTCAATGTTGTCTCTTATTTGGTTATCTTGAGCACTCTCAGGAGCCCACCATTACTTGAAACTTGGCTCCATCTGAAATAGGAACGCAGGTTTGCTAGATGCTCTAAGGTGCACTGTGCCGTACCTCGGACACATTGTCCAGGACTCTGTTTCTGTGTCCCTGTTCATAATAACATAATAGAGACATTAGCCTCATTACAAAAGCAAACAATACCCTTCCCACCTTCTGCTCTTATTTCAGAATGTGACTGCTAATCACCGAGCTAATGACGTCATTGCAGCAGAAGATGGTCCTCAGGTACTAGTTGGGCGCTTTATGTACGGACCTCTGGACATGGTCGCTTTAACAGGTGAAAAGGTAAAGTCTGAGTAATCAATTCCCTTACTTTTCTGAACCAGCTTTTACTAGAAACAGTTGTTGAATGTAGCAGACATATATAGTACCAGAGAAAGCCTTACAGTGAGGGGAAGTATGTCACTAGCCCCCACCACTTCAGCACAAATATGCTGTAAGTGGGCTTTCCTGATAGCTGACCTTTTTCCCAGTTATCCTTCTTGCATGATGCTGGCCATCTCCTCTGGCTAATGATGAGTGTGCTGTGCAGTGATTTCTGAACCTGACATCCAATTGTACCACCTACTGGAGACAATTGACTTTTTGAGCAAGGTAGAAAAAGTATTTTAGAGTGGTTGGCAAATCATTAAAACATATATATATAGAATAGTTATTCTAGAGGCTAGGTTGCTGCTGTTTCTCTTACACATGGAAGAGTAAAGACTAGTTTTAGAATTGAAATAGTAATGTGACATGATTGGAACTGTCACTCGTAAAGCTGCCTGCAGCAGCCAGGCTTACAGCTAACAAAGCCAAGCATTAAGTGAACACATTTGTTAATATTCACGAAGACTGTAAGAATTTTTGTGGAAATTAACAGAGCAATGCTGCTGAGCTGAGGGTAAAACTGAAGCGTGGAGGCTTCACTTGGCCTGTTTTGTGGTTGCCTGTTCTGCTAAGGTGCAGCACTAACCTGATGCCTCTAGGGATGAGCCTGGTGACGGCATGCCTTCTTTGGAGTATATTTGCTAGTGCAAACGGCAGGGATGGATGTTTCTGGAACCATGTCTCTGATGATCATGCTTCTGTCACAGGTGGGCTTTGTTAACTCCACCAGACATAAGTGATGTGCAGCTTCGGAGATTTTGTTGTAGAATAGGGCATACATGTGCTGAAACACACTGAACTGTCAATATAAGCTATGGTTATATTCTTAAGACCATCACTGCTTCAATCTTCTCCCATATGGTTTGTAAAAAAAAGCAGCTCCATTACTTGAGTTTACATGCAAGACAGGATCACAGATCTTGTCAGATTTTAATGACAGCTCTTTATTAGCTTTTATAAATTCCTTCAGTCTGATCACATTTTATTCATTGATAAGGTTCTTCTGGCACAATTATGAACAGGGCACCAAAGGGGTTCATAGCAGTCCTATGAAGAACACTGAAATTGTATGGTTGCAAGATTTAATAAGGTCTAAGGTCTTCAATTATATCGACTGTCAGGAAGACTGAAGATCAAAGCTGTGTATGTAATGAATCTCCTGGCATACATTATTTGTGCTTATATCCTAGCAATGCCTCAGGCCAAAAGTTGGACATTCTTATAACTGGTACAGTGCAGAAATGAGAAGAAACAGTTTTTACCACACAGCCATTGAACCAAAGGAAAGGCCATCCCTCTCCCACCTTCCCTAACGGGAATTAGAGTAGGGGAAGGATTTATGTCAATTAACAGTGTGGCCTGCAGACTCGATCAGACTTTGAAATGTTAGTTTGCATGCATATAACAGGTAAGCGTGCACATCATGGTGCTAGCCTCAGCAGGCAGGAAATTTTCCTTGAACCTCATTTGCTTGGGGTGGCTCCTGTTGAGGCACAACAGAGTAGTGATAATGGAGATGAGGACATCTGGTCAAGACAAGGAAACAGGAGCTTAAGCTTCTCTGAGAGTCTCTGGCAGCCATATCCTCTCATGCTCCCATGGGACTGAGCACCAAGGTAATCTCAGCCTCAGTCTGTTGACCTATTAGAAAATGTTAATTAACCTGAGGTGGGCTTGACATACCAGTTTTTACTGAGGCAAGGATCAGTCCTGGAGACTACTCTTGCTTTCCCAAGAATTCCTAAAATGTTGGAATTTGTTGTAATGTTGGAATCCAGTTGTAGACTGGATTCATCTTAGCCCTGGGTCTTTGAGATGAATTTGGGTTGTTAAAAAAGACAACATATTCAGCATTTTTGTGTGCAAATGCAAACTAGGTTAGAGGTACATTTCAGCATTTCAGTGCTTTTCCTGAGGCCAGAGGTGTATCTCTGGGATTTACTTAACCCATTATTTTCTGGGCATTATAGTCTAAAGTTTTTCCTCCCTACATAGATGATTGTGTGCTGGCTGGTTGCCTTGAAGTCATATTTCCTTTTCAGAAGGATAGGGATGAACAATAAGCTGTGTTTCTACAGTGGGAAAACAGATTCATATTATGTTTGGGTATTGAATAGAATCCTGTCATTAGAATATCTTGAAAGAAATTGCCAAGTAAAAATGTTAAGATTATCACTAATTATCGCACTGGGGAGAATTCCATATTCAGTGATCAGTTACTGATAGTTTTCATCCTAATTTTGAGGGGTTTCAAAACTAATAGAAATACTATCTGTATTTTTTTTTTTTTACACTTGTGTGTTGTCCCTCCAAGGATCTCAAGTAACTCTACACAAAAGACTATATTTAAAAATCTCTTGATGTGGAGAGGGAAAACTGAGCCAGAACAGTTCAAAGACCACAGTCACCAGAGAGCCGTTCTAGTAGCTTTCACATTGATGTTGAAAAAAGAAAATGTTATCTGAAAGGATTGTAGTTGTGCAGATTTTTCAGAATTCCCAGTGCAAACTTACAAACTATTTTTCTGAACAACACATGCACACGCACACCCCCTGCCCCCATCTTTAATGGCTTAGGAAGGGAATAGAAGGTAAGAATGGAATGGCTGAATAAAAGAAAGTTAGAAGTATGATTCTCAAAAGAAAATATTTCTGTTCCTGGTTAGGTCTTGTATTCCTTTGCAGGTTGGAAGGTAGTTAGAATTTATCCCTAGCAGATCATAAAAATGTCTTCCTTGGCTCACTGTCCGCACTAACGGTGCATTTGAAAGTTGGAAATTCAGAATCAGTTAGGGTACAAAGTGAAACTTTCTCCTGCTTGTATCATCCAAGACTTCAAAGAGGTAGTTGGTACACATTTGTATTCAAACTGTGAATTCACTTTGCAGTCAAAAAGCAGAAGAAAGGAGTAAACAAACCCATTGTTTGATCCTGATAACACTTCTGGTTCAGCAATACGTGTCATTTCTTCCCTTGCACCAAAGCTCATCCGTTAGAAAAATGGAGTTCTGAATTTCATCAGTTCAGAATGAATTTAGTGTTATTTAGAGTTACATCCCAATGTCATGTAACATCATTATGTCCAAGAAGAACAGATCTACAGAGTTATCGAGGCTATTCACACAAACAGCATGATTCCATGAGCTGCTGGCAAATCTTGTAGAGCATCTGGCTGCATGTTGAGCACTGAAGAAGTCTACATAAACCTCATATGCCTAAGTTCTGTAAAAACTGAGTATAGAAGGAAAGCTTGGCAGATACCTCCTTCAGATTTACTGATGTACTTACTGCTAAAAAGTGCCAGTTCAAGTCAGACAAAATATTTCATACACTTCATGTTAATTTTGATGAAATATTTCAGTTGAAGAAAACCATATTGATGAAACCTTTTGAAAAAAAAAATCTTGATAATTTGAAGAGTTTAGGTTTTGCGTTTGTAGGCAAGGTTATGATTAGAGAAAGATTTGATTTCACTAATAACCAGATGAATTTTTCCATTTTGTAGGTTTAGTATGCAAGAACGTAATATACACATGTAAGCTGAAATGATCTTTTTTCTAGTTTAGGGTTCTTGCCAAATTTCTGAGCTCTATACCCTCGTCTGACACCTGCAGTGCTGAGCGCTTTAAATGATGAAGGCAATAAGCTCTGGTATTCTGTGTTGGAAGTGTTTTCTAACTGAGAGGACCTTCTGTGAAGTTTTTACTGAGTTTTGAAGTTCCTTCAAAATTCCTTGGGAGCTTTTAGTACAAGCCATAGTTGAAGATACTAATGTGATCTAGTTTCCTTGTAAATAGGGAGTGTGTTAGTGTGATAGTAGTATCACACTAGATGACTGTTTTGTTCTTTTTGCAGGTTGATATCTTCATAATGACTGAGCCATCTTCGGGTAGGTGGGTGTACTTTGACACCGAGATATCCAACAGCAGTGGCCGGGTATCCTACAGCATACCCAAACAGAAGAGACTGAGAGTTGGTGTGTATCCCATCAAAATGGTGGTCAGGTAATAGCTCCAAGCTGGAACTACAGCTGTGATAGGTTGTTGTGATCAGGAAGACACTGAGGTGTGCAAGATTGAAGGGGGTGTGGAGGGAGATTTTGGTCAGTTAGTTATCTTTTCTTGGTCTTGTCACTGTGTTGTCATCTTAGATTTGAAGCGGTGATCGTCTGTTTACTGGCCAGTTTGGAGGTGCCCAGGCCAATGGGTTTATCACTACTGCAACACAAATTCTCAGTGCAAATCAATTTAGGAGCGCTTGGTCTTGCAAAATATGGGGACTGGATGACCACAATCAATCAGTCTTCTTGGGGCAAGAATGTATGACTTGGGATATTTTGCAACCTGTTCATTGGGGAAAAGACTGTTGAAGGGTATAGGTTTGTGCTCTTCAGACTGAGAAGAAGCTTTTCTTATTGAAATTATCAGTAGAGGCTGTACTGCCTTGCTCACACCCACCTGTTTACCTGTTGATGTCAGGCTGATCAAAAGAGTTACCTTAATTCTGTACTCAAGACCATGCTTATTCTAAATTGGGGGGGGGGGGAAACAAACCCTCAGCACCTGAAAATAACAGTTAATTGAAGTAAAATCAGTCTGCTGTCCAGCATTTCTTAAAAATCTCTATGTAAAGCATGAAGTATGAAGGTGTGTGAAATAAAAATTGTTGGCCTAGGTGCAGGACTGGGGTAACTGTGCTTTTAAAACAATGTTACGTTTAATAAGAGACCAGTTTGATTTAATACAGTGTTTTAGTTTAATATTGCACTTAGAATTAAATTGCCTAACCACTTAGGAAGTAGCTTTTCAGCTTCCTTTGAATCCCTGCTTTGGGGGCTAAATCAGTGGGATGAATTTTGCTGAAACAGAATGTGTTGTTACCCACTAGTTAACAAAGTCCAAAGTCCATTTACAATCTTATGTAGTGCTAATTGAGGAGGAAGAAATGTTTTACCTCAGTGTAATAGAACAGACAATCAATTCAAGAAAAGAGAGTTACTTAAAAACGAATTAAGGTGTATTCAGAAGCTAAACTCCCATGGGCTTTTAGACTGCAGGAGTAAATTTCAAAGGGGAATGAAAGAAGTTGTGCTGTCTTTGCTTGTTAAGCTGTGCATACCTATTGTAAAAATCTTCATCGACAGATATAAATGTCTCTATCATACAATAATCATATTTCTAAAGGAAAGAAGATGTGGTCTTCAGATTATGTTTTTTAGGGAACATGAGGTCGTGGGATGGTAAGAGCTTTGGATCGCTTTGTGCTTTATTAGTTTCTTAATGTCCAGACCTCTTGCAAAAAATACATTGTGAGAAGAAGATTGCATTTCACATGCTTTTTCATGAGAAAAGACATAGGTTTGTTTGGGGTGGGCTTTTTTGTGGGTTTTTTTTGTTTGTTTTTTGGGTGTTTGGGTTTGTTTTTTTTTTTTTTTTTTTACTTTTCTGGATTGGCATTCCCATTGTAATTTGCAAGGATAGAGAGAAGGGCTAGTATTACCAACTGTTTATCTAATGGAGAAAAGCTGATTTGTGTAAGTACATGCCAATAGAAGGTGCATATCAATTCTTTCCTTGTAATTTCTAATAGTTTGCCAGTAACTGTAGACTGCCAGAAAAAAAATATAGCTAACTTCTGTGCTATGTGTGCATGTACGTGTGTGTGTGCATATATATAGTATTCATGTCTTACGTGTTTACATACAGATAGCACATTTGAGTAGTAGTTTGAGTACTTCAGGCTGTTTTGGGGTTTTTTTCCTAATTCTTTTAGGTATTTATACACAAGTGATTTCTTATTAAAATCAGCTTCCAAATTGCCCTTTGAAAAGCTATATCCTAAAAGTGTAAGTTTTAATTACCCCATATAGAACTGAAATCAGAAGCCCTATCTGACAGTGATTTTTGAAGCTGTAGATCCAGACAGATCTAATTTCAGGTCTTAACTAGAACGTGCAGAAAATATGTTCTGACATTGTGCTTTTTAAATGTATTTATTGCCTTGACTCTCCAGAGGGGACCAGAGCAGTGCTGCAAGTTACCTGACTGTGCTTCCCCGAGGAATGGAATGTGTTGTGTTCAGCATTGATGGTTCATTTGCAGCAAGTGTTTCAATTATGGGAAGTGACCCCAAAGTCCGAGCTGGGGCTGTTGATGTTGTCAGGTAAGTGAGGTTTGCACACTTCACTTTTTAAATTTCTGCCTTTCTTGTTTGAACACAATAGGAAGGTAGAGGGCAGAACAGTTGGTTTGTTTTTTTTTTACTAGATAAACAATTCTTTAAAGTACAGTATTCTTTGCATATACATTTCTATACTTGCTTGGACGTCAGGTCTGCCTGATTTTCAGAGAAATCTTAGAATGCTGTGGTTTACTTTGAAATCTGTAGTTGCCTAAAGATTAAAAGTTGCTTCTTGGGAATATGGCCTTAAAGTGTGTGCAGTGAACTAAAGATGATTCCACGTGTGCTGTAATTAGCAAAGAGTGTATTTTGTGTTTCGCTAACTTCAAATAACGACATACTCCTACTTGGGAAATAACAAGTGCCATGAATGCAAGAGCATTTTTTGGAGGAAAAATTAAAAGGCCTTTTAATCCATTCTTGCAAGTCTGTTAATGTCACACTGGACGGGGAAATACAGCTCTCATTTTGGAACTTGCATGGGAATGGAGGGATGTCAGTTTTCAAGGGTTTCTACTCCTTACAGCTGAAACAGCAGGAAATCTCATTAAAGGTTTCAAATGTAGCAGGGCTTGATATGTAGCAAGGTCTATTCTAAATAGATATTTATATAGCTCTCACATTTTATATAACTTATTATATAAGAATCTCTCTTGCTTCCCTCTGTCTCCCTCAAGGTATAGACATTGTAACTTAATTCCTCGATAGGAGCAGAGAGTTAGGCATGCTGCTTTCCACTGGTTGAAGGACAACATCCAGCTTCTAGCTGGGTCTGTGCTGAGCAAAGAAATGCTGACCTGAGCTGTGGGTATTGTTTCTCTCTCTGCACCTACATAATTTACCTGCTTTTTCTGACAGACATTGGCAGGACCTGGGATATCTGATTATCTATATTACTGGCCGTCCAGATATGCAAAAACAGCGTGTGGTTTCCTGGTTGTCTCAACACAACTTCCCACAAGGGATGATCTTCTTCTCAGATGGACTTGTTCATGACCCACTGCGACAAAAGACCATTTTTCTCCGGAATCTTATGCAAGAGGTACTAGAAACCTGTTTATAGCCTTAAAACCTTTTTCCAGAGAATGTCATTCAGTGAAGTTAGAGATTGCCCTTCCTTTTAAACAGTAAATCTCACTGGCTGTCACAAAGTCTTTTTGCCATTCTTCTTTCTTTTCTCACTTTTTAAAGAGCAAGGAAGGCTGATAAAACGTCCAGGGAGGCCTCCCAGCATGACAAATAAATGCATGAACTGATAGTTCTTTCCTGTGTGCATATCTGTAGTTCTTGCTGGCATGCAGGCAAACAGATTTAGCTTTCTGTGGATTTAGCATTCTGTAAGAATGAGGTTGTTAACAATGAACTCATCTGCTGCTTCATTGCAAAACAAGTGCCATCCTTGTAGTGCATGGTGTTCAATAGAGTGTTCACTTTGGAAGTAATATTTGTTTCAGTGCCACATCAAAATCTGTGCCGCATACGGTTCCATGAAGGATATTTCTGTGTACAATGTCTTGGCTCTGTCGCCATCCCAGATCTACATAGTTGGACGATCAACAAAGAAATACCAGGCACAGTGTCAAGTAAGTAACTCTGGCTACTCAATTGGGAAGTCCTAGGGTGAACAAGGAAATGCATGCATATGAATGCATGTGCAAACACACATACACATAAAGAAGTTAAAGAGCAGAGACAATGTTTCATATAAAGAAGGGCAGTCTTGGTTTCAGATGAGGTATTTTGTGGCGAGGTGAATAGTAGACAATCGAGTGGTCATAGATTGTATCTGCAAGTGTGTGCATCGCATATTGCTGAATGACAAAATGGAACAGGTCGCTGAAAAAAAAACAGTGAGGGGAGAGGATTATTAGTACTCTGGAGGTATCTGACTGGGATGCCAAAGATAGGAACTTAATTCCTCACAGAGCTCATAGGTTGAAGCAGCAGTAACTTCTCACTCCCTTTCTTTCCTTCCTATTTCAGTTCCTCAGTGAAGGTTATGCAGCCCACTTGGCCTCGCTGGAGTTCAGTCTCCAATCACGACCCAAAAAGAACAACTCTCGGATGATCTTGAGAAAAGGCAGCTTTGGCCTCCACTCCCAGCCTGAGTTTTTGCGCAAGAGAAACCATCTTCGCAGGACTATGTCTGTCCAGCAACCTGACCCACCTTCTTTGAACCCCAAGCCAGAGCGTGCCCAGAGCCAGCCCGAATCGGACAAAGATCATGACAGGCATTTGCCCTCCATTGCTTGGGTTCAAGGTGGAGGTCACAAATTTGAATCTGTCCCCTAGGAAGCTTGAGAATACAGATCTTGGGTGCACCCCATTGAACTTGTAGGCACGCCTCAAAGATAATATATAGGCAGCTTCAAACCAAGAGATGCAGAGGGGAATGGATGAGATGCTTGGGTTCAAGGTGGAGGTCACAAATTTGAATCTGTCCCCTAGGAAGCTTGAGAGTATAGATCTTTGGTGCACTCCATTGAACTTGTAGGCACGCCTCAAAGATAATATACAGACAGCTTCAGACTAAGAGACGCAGATGGGAACCTGTACCTCGGAGTGTTCCCTGCTCTGGAATCTGCCTTCTTACACCAACTGGGGAACTTTCAGTCTGTTCCTCTTGACATGTTTATTGGAAAATTCAAAAACAATCTAAAATTATTGCAAGTGCTTATAACATCAGAGCAACAGGAAATATCTTTGGTTATTTTTTACAATAGATATAATAAAATGTGCAATAAGAGAAAAAGCTGTAACAGGCTGATTTTACTCAGAAGGAGGATTGTGGTATCAGCCAACTAGCTGCACCCAAAACAGTATAAACAGTAGGCTCCATAGGTTACAGAGAAGGTTTACACTTTAAACAGTCGTATCTGTTTCCACTTCACTTCCCATAAAGCGATACACTTGCAAGGGAAGCAGAGGTGGGAACTACAGTAATGAGTGGTCAGGATTTGTACAGCGAGATGCTTTTTGGGTGCCTTAAACCCAAGATTTCCTTTCAGCTTCCGGTGTTGGTCAACAGACCCCAACATGGGCACTCGTGTTTGTGTGAGGTGCTGGACATCAGGTAAAGGGGAGAACTCCACTTATGAACCAAATCATAAAAACTTAGTGTTAGAAATAAGTGTGTCTGCCACAGTTTGACACAGTTAGTGTTGCTGTATACAAAGTAATGTGCAAGTGTACACAGATCACATCGTTTTGTGGAACTTGGTGACTGTGCAAAATGTGTGAACTACTCAGAGTAAGGAGATGGCTCTGACCGTCTCAGTCCAAGGGACAGATCCTAAGATGGTAAGCTAAAGGGAACCCTTTTACTAAGGGATCTGCAAACTTCAGAGCAATCACTTTTTTCATTATTCTAACTAGAATCTTTACACTGGAGGAGGAAAAAAATGTAATGGAATTCCTGTGGGTAAATGGTTTACCTTTTCATGCTTTATAGCAGCTGCTGTGTTAAGACAATCTGTAACATTCTGAATTGCAGCATTTGAGCTTCAAAGAATGGACATGCCAAATTACAGGTGCCAAATAGATGTTTTCCTACTGATTTAAATTTCTCTCAGATCTCTCAATGAACTTACTAGAAGTAAAGTGTGTGAAATTTTCCCTAAGTGGTAACATTTCTAAAGTGTTGTAGTTAGTTTAACATAGTAGCAGTTTGCAGATTGTTCATGCAGATACTTCCACTGCACTAAATTCACCGAGAATTTTCGACTAAACTGAAGCATGTTTTATGAATCTGCAATGAAGTTACAAGTGCACATTAAAACCCCTGTTCTTTAAGAGTTAAAATCCGACTATTGACACAGCGAAACCTTGAAGTCAATAGGAGATTTCTTTTTCAGGTTGGTTGGTTTGTTTTTAATTTCAGGGAGTTGGCCTGGAGAGGGTGTTGTGCCTCTTCCCACCCCTCTTACTTTCAGGTTTTCCTAGGCTGTAGCTAGACCAGAAACAGTCTCAACAAGTCTGTTGGTTGATGGTTTTGAAAGTTGACATGTAAAGCAAACAAGACATGCGATGGAAAACTACTGTGACAGTGCAGAAGTAAACCTAAGTCTATGCTCCCTATTCGCCCAAAAGTTTCCATGTGCTTTTTGAAGGGCATGGTTAACGTGGCTTTTGCCTGAAAAGGCAGCAAAGAAAAGTAGCTTATAAATTGAGATCTTGGATTTTTTTTTTTTTTTTTTTTTTAGACATTACTTGGCAAGACTGTCAGTTACCTATTTCAAACTTCCTGAAAGAACTCTGGCACATCAGTAATTTGTTTTTTGTAAAGCTTCCTTTAAGGGGAGGGGTAATCTTTGCTGAAGATTTAGGAAAAGTATTAAAAGTTTGGTAGCTCGCACTAACTGGGAGCAGGTAACTACATCACTGAGGGCTGGGATTTATGCTCTGTTGCCAAGTCAGCCAGCTACATGGAATCAGTCTTCAGGTTTACAAACACTTTCCCAGTAGTATCCCACCTAGTTCTTTAATCCACAAATTTGGAGGAATAATTCTGTGTTCTGTCTTAGCCCACTGTGTGAATTAATTCTCAGCACATAGTCCATTTCTTCTCCTGTCCTCTGCAGCTAGGACAAGATTGCACAGGTACACCAGACTCCATCTCCCCCTAGTCAGTTCACAGTGTGCTCCTGCTTGCTAGTTTTAAATAGGCGTGGAAATCCAAGGCTTTTGAGGGAGGAAGTCACTAGGCAAATTTTAGATTTGCTGAGGGAACCTAAAAGCCGCATTGATTGATCGCAAAGTCCTTTTTAAGCACGGGGTGTTGTGTAGCATGTCTCCTGACAGAAATCACTGTTCCTGCTGCAAAGTTCAAAGCTAGTGTTGCTTTAGCCATCTACCTGTACCATCCAAGAGACTCCAAAATCTAATTTTCATTTCATAAGTTGCTGTAGTAGAAAGGCCTGCTTCCTTTCAAAAGAAGGATCTGTGTGTAATTCTGTGACTGTATTAAAGGAGTTGGCATCTGAGCACAAGGTTAGAGAAACCTCCGACGTTGTTAAGGTCTGTCTCATACTCTTGCAGACACAATGCCATTTTGCAGGGTACCGTGTCATGAAAACCCTAATTTTGTGTATTTCTATTAATAACTAGGTCACCTTTACAGTAGTCACTGTGTTGGCTTCTCTTAAGAATATTGTGAGCTAATAGTAGTAGAACAAATGTGTGCGTGTGTGTGTGCGCGCACATGATTTAGAGTGGTAACAATTTCAAAGTTTCTACACATGGTATTGAAATCAAGCTGAAAATATTTTCCCTAACTTCATTTCTTACAATATATGAGAGCTCATGTAGCCTTTGCATAATTCCTACACTACTTACTGCTCAGGGATAGAAACGGTTATCTCCTGATCACATGCCTCCAGCTTGAGCACTTTGGCAGTGATACAGGCATTAGCTCGGAGCTTAAGGCTTCATGTGAATTAGAAGCTGATCTTCTGAAACATCAGATGCCAGATGCATTTGTTTTGAAAGCACTAGCCAGTTGCCACTAAAATGTTAAATTAACTTCTGTTGGAGCTGAAAGTATGAACAAGGTGAGTGTGATTTTAGACATCCCACATCTAAGCTGGCAGTTCAGCAAATACTCTGTTGCAGTGGCTGGGCACCTCATGCATGTGGAACTGGCTTTTTTTTCCTGTCCTGCCTGCCACTGTGCTTGGGGTGATCTAGAGGTTTGCCTGATGAATCACTAGTATCACTAGTTTTATAGCATAATATTTCAATGATGTTTTCTCTTAAAACATTTCAGTTATACGCTTTGTTCACATGAAACTGGACGCAGTGGTTCACAGGCATTCAGTTTGCAACTGGATTTCAGTTTTGCTTGTGCTTTCGCAGGATTATCAGTCCTCCTAAGCAGGCCGTTTGCTGAGGATAAGCTTGAGCCTACAGTCATCTTATTCTCTGATTGCAGTTTCTCATTGCTGCAGTCTCTGTGTAGTCAGCACTTACTTAAACTTCATAGGCTATGGAAGTGTTAAAGCATACACATAAGGGAAAGGGACAGAGAAGTCAGGCACAAATGGTGGGTGCCCAAGGAACACAGACTTATCAGTAGTTTCTGCACCTTTAGTGCCTCCAGTCTGTTACAGAAAAGCACATTCTTTTAACCTGCTGAATGGAGGAAGCATAAGTGAAACTGCAAAACACAGAACTGTTCTTCCAGTGGATGCGAAAGCAGCAGTACAAGTCAGTGCAACGTAGGCCACAGTTAGAAGCATTTTCTTCTTTGCCCTGCTAGTATGGATCCAGTTTTAAATTACTGTTAAAAAATGGTGGTGATTAATAGCAGTGGTAGACTTAATCTGAGATGAGATACTGTGAACACACACCTTTACAACTGCGGTGTTTTGTTTTTGTATGTGTATGCGTGTGTAACTGTTCGAAGACACCTGAAGTGAAGTTTTAGTTCTGCTTTCAAGCAATTTTGTAACCAATATACTAAAAAAAAAACCAAAACACAAACACAGCAATGGCTGTTTATTCAATTTTGTTGTCTAGTTAGGTAAGTTTGAAAAAAAGATACTGTATACAGAGTGCAGAGTATTCCACAGACCTGAATAGTGATGTTGATCCAAATCTGCTTAGTTTGAGTAACTTTTTTGTTAAGTGTTTGCATACACTAGTGCTCTTGGAACAGATTCTTGCTTGACCAAAGTACTCTTGTTTAGTTTTGTGGCATGGTTTGTATCTAGTCAGCATAAAATTTTGTTAGGTGTAAAAATGACATGGCATTGATAATTCTTCTTGTTTATTGGGGTTCATGAGAGCTGCCATTTTGATTTGTTTACATGAAAATAGTCTTAATTCTTAAAGATTACTTTACCTGTTCCTCTAGTACCTGGGGAAGTCACTTCATAACGAGTGAAAGTTTTAACTTTATTTAGTAGAAGTGGAGCTATTGGTAAACTAGAGAAAAAAAGACCCACCTTAATCTAATATTAAAATAAGCAGAACAATGACAGTTCATCTGGAAGCTCCACCATTCTGCAAAATAACCTTTGTTTGCCATCATTAGTGAAAAAGTTGTCTCATTTGTACATTGCAGTCTTTAGGCCAGGGCACTACCAACGTTTGTATTTAAGCAAATCCCCAATACTTAGTTCTATAGTATCATCATGTACTTCACAGAATAAATTTAGAAAGAAAAAAAAAAAAGAAATTTGTCCTTCTTTCTATACTGTTTCCTGTCTTAAATTTGATAAATGTTTTTATTAATACCTGAAACCACTAGGTAGTTTCAGGTTTAAAAAATTTAAGTGCAACAATTGTTACTGAACAGATAG